GCATCTGACGGATTTTTCGTTCTATTTTTCGACACGCGTGTTTTAAAATATTTCAACGGATTTCAAATCCGGAGTCGCGCCCCAGAAAAGTATCCTAACGCGATAACCGTCACCGATTGATAACATTACAAATTTCGCGAAACGTGCTTCACAAAGCGGCCCGCAGTACAAGGGAGTACATGGCGACTGTGAAAACCGGAGCTACTACGCGGTGGACAAAGGAATTAATTTAAACTGTCCGAAATTAAAGGAGAGAAGTACACACATTAACTAGATTCGGTCCTGAAAGCTTCTGGTACAGCGTTTCCCAAATGGCACGGTTCTCCGTGGACATGGTTTTCCGTGGAACGAAAATATGTGTGCCCCGTAGAAACTGATTATATTTGCCCGTACGTTACTACTCTCTTACTCTCATATCGAGTTCATTTTTTGTCCTCAGCCACACGTATAAAAGCGCAGGCGAACGAACGGCAAGGAAAGAGAGTCATCTCTCTCTCTCTGCCTCGGCCCCTTTTTTCACTCGAGAATTTCAAAGAGACCCGTGGCTAAATTACATCGAGAAACGTCGAGCTACTCTCCGCATCGCCGATATACCTCTCCCTCCTCTCTCCTCCTCTATGTACATCGCGTTACCGAAGTTTCCGATGATATCGAAAATATCAGCGCGACGGTTCTGTTTGCTCGCCGGAGAAGTGCGGAAAATGGATGAATCGAGCTTTCTTATCGCTCCCTTCCCCCCTCTCATTCTTTAAATTACAAGAGAACACACGGTAGTCGACTGAGCGAACCAAAGATACCAGACGGGAGCAGGAAACGTAGACGAAGGTGGAGATTACGTGCCAAACGGGAGAAAGAAGGAGACGAGGAGGTCGCAATGTGCCGGCGGCGGCCAAGAGGATCCCGGTTATCGTCCGAGAAACGGAACAGGAACGGAATACAAAGGGAGAAGGAGGGGGAAGAGAGAGCTTTCCTGATCCCTCTCCTACACGTCACCAGGAATGCCAGCCATCTGGCATCGTGCCGTGATTCCCTACGACAACGGTGCGCGCCGGCTGCCGGATAGAGCGTGCGGTAGTGGCGCCTGCCACGAGGTCCCTATTTTATGGGATCTCGTATGCACCAGCGCTGGCTAGAGAGCCGTCGCACCGTCATTTTTCCTTGCCCCCTCTCGAAGTCCCACGTATAACAGCACGTACTTCTCGTACCCTCCGCGACGCGATTACCCATGCGCGCTGCCACCGTCGTCATCGCCGCCACCATTGTCGTCGTGACGAATAAGTTACGTACGAACGGCTGGCGAGGGACAACGCGCTCCGAGCGAGAATGATTTATCGCCGGATCCGAATAAAAATCACCAGCTCCCGCTTTGCATCTTCACCCTGCCCTCCGATCGGACCCGATCTGATTTGACGCGGTCGACCGGCCGGTCGAACTTGGACCGAATCCGCGACCCGTTGAATATATGGCGGGGATCCCGGGAACGTCGCCCGCCCGATCTCGAGAAAACCACTATCGTTGCTTTCGCGATGTCAAAAGTGCATTAGTAAAATTGCCGAAGAAATACATCGCCGGAACGGGGCCCGGCCGAGAGGCAGTGCGAAGAGAATGCAACGGGAATTCTAACGAAGGGATCGCTCGTGTAAGATCTTAGAACGAGGAGTAAGATCATCTGGACACAATGATACTACTATCCTTATCCGATTCTTGCTGCTGAAAAACAGTGCTCGCATATCCTCGGGAAAGTTCGAATCCGTCATTCGAGGTTTCAGATTCGCGGGAATTTCAAGTTAACGTAAGTGTTACGCGGGTGAATTATCGAGAGGAACTAATACTATAAATATAAATTTAGTATATCGAGAGGTGTGCGCAAAAATCCGCGGACTCTAATGCCTGTGTTTTTGCCATCGTGATTTAAATCTAATCGACGATTATCTCGACGGAATTGACCGATCAGTTCAGAATAGACCGATGCGATTTGCCGATGGGAGCCGCTTATTTTTATCCGTGGCGCTTAATTTTCACCTGCGGTAGCTTCTTTTTTCAAGCGTGTGTGGGGTATACTCGGGGACGAACGTAGCGTCAGGACGGCCGGGATCTGTAAGATCCTAGAATGAGAAGTAAGATCTCATCTCGGCAATAATACTTTTCTCTCCGCTTCTTACACTCGCGGCTCGAGTTTTCCCTTGGCAGCCGCCCACCTCTCGCGAAGCGTCTCGCGATGCGCTTATCACGTCGTGTGCGCGACGTTCTCGCTCCCGACAGATCGCAGATATCATATCTGCCGCGAGACGTTACCGTAAGATCTAGCCGCGAACTGCCGGGTATTAATAGAGAACGATTAATCGGCCCGAGCGCGTCCGGTCGCCTTGAAAGTCCCGGGAATCGCAGCGACGAGGCCAATGAGTAAAGCACGAAAGCCGGATCTCCCCCCCGTCGTCCCCCGCGTTCCCCAGTGCACTTCGCACGCTCCCTTGAATGAAGCGCGTTCAGGTCAGGATGGCGTCAGCGATACGAGGCGACGCGATGCGACGCCACCGCACGCACACTCCCGCGGCGTCCCGCACGTGCTGCATACGTAATGCGCATCGACGCGGCGAACAAAGCGAGACGCAAGTGCGTATCGCCGAATCACGGCGGGTGGGGCGACCCAGTGTGCGTAGAGAGAGAGAGAGAGAGAGAAGCGCCTGTGACTGCGTTGGCTCACATAAGGGGGGATTCTCTGAAAAGAATCCGAATCGGGTGAAAACTGCTGCCAGTGGAGCGCTACTAGTCCCATCTTCCTACACGCGGATAATCGAATGTAAGCGAAGAATAATAACGAGGGGGAAGTAAATCGGGTCGCGCGCGCGATATTTTAGCTCCGCGGATCGTATTTCCTTCTGCTTGCGCGCTTCGGTGAAGCAACAACGTTTGAAAAATATTGATTTAAGACTACTGTACCTGAAATATTTTTGCGACACGTAAGAGGGAGCAAGGAGGGCGTGAGAGCAGTAAAAGGAGGGCGAAAGGACGATCGACGTTCCGTTTATTAAAGAGAGGTTTGCGGCGTTCTTTGAATCATCTCACCGCACACCTCACGTAGGTAGTGAATATGTAACAGATGGAAAGTTAAGGATCAATAACAGAAATGCATTAGAACGTTGCAAAGTCAACGGCCCCTAAGCCTCCTTTGCATTCGGCTGCGCCGCCGCCCCGCGACGTTGTTTCTACATCTCTGTGCAAACATGTTCTTTACGAAGTCACCGGTAGCTCCTCGCTGCCGGTGTCGTGATACAAAATCGCCCGAAAATCACGTTATTACCTCCGTCGTGTCTCGCTCGGATTACAAATGGTAATAATACAGGTATTCTACGTGTCGACGAGCTGGATATGCTGGAGGCGACGATCGAACGTCGAACGAGAGAAAGAGAGACGTTCCGTTCGGTATCGCGATATTATCACATTGTAACGTCATCTGTCTTATCGCGAAAAAAAAATCGCACGACAGATGAGGAGAGCTACGTGATTCTTCAGGCGTTATTCAGCGAGTAATAAACCAACGAAGGTAAACAGCACGGGGCACCAAGCTGAGACGTTAGATTCTTCCGAACGTGAACATTACGATTCAACGGGTGAGTGCGCGGAAAAAAGAATTGGCTCCCACAGCTGAAAATTAGCTATCCATGTAATACATACAACTGAAATTCCCTCGCTAGTTTTGCTTGTTCAGTTATCAAAACTAACTTTTAGCTGTGGCAGCTAATTTTTACCATTATATCCGTACATGGAAAAAAAATTGGCTCTCACAGCTAAAACTAGATCTGGTAATTAAATTTCAGTTGTGTTACATGGATAGCTAGTTTTTAGCTGCGGGAATTTATTCTTTCTTCCGCGTGCGACCGAGAATCTTCGCTTATGATGAACAAGGCGACGCGTAAACAGAAGTATGTACGGTCGGTCACAAAAAAGTCGCAACATTTCTTTCCGATAAGTTTCGCAATGCATCTCGTGTATCTAGTAGGAAAGTGTGTCTCCTGAGAATGATGAACAAATTCTCTTATCGGATGTGTTCCTAAAATTATAAAAACCAAAGTGTCGCAATCTTTCTGTGACTGATCGTACACCGCGCGAAAGCAAAATATAAAATCTGTCTCGACGGGATCAGAAGTCGCGCGAGTCATCAAGTGTTTCCGAAAAGTAAAGTAAAATAAAAGTATCAAAGGATACATATTTCACACGTGGTCATGTTTATTGTTTGGCCTTAAAATACGAATGTTTAATTTTTAAACATAAAATATTTGTATATACTCAATATACGTATATATATATTTTTTTTTATGTTAAAAGTTTCTAAATATTCTTATTAAAACATGAAAATAACAAGAATGTCCAGGATTAGATACGTGGCGTTGATACTTTGATCTCAGCTGAGAACGTTATTCCTCCAAAAATCATTCCTACAAGATTTCCCAGACGCGGAAGTGGTACGGCTGTCGAGTGTGAAAAATTGAAGCGAGCCGATCATCGGAAAGACCTCAACGAGGTACTAAACGTCCCTCAAAAGTTTCTCTAATCCGCGCGAGTTACATAAATTGCACGGATGTAACGGTGCGGCGATACACTTGACAGACACGTGTCTCGAAAGTCAAGACTGGATATCGTAGTCACTTGCAGCGCCCCGTAACACACACGTGTGAGCATGTATGTGTGCGCCGCACGCGTGTTAAACTCGTGGCGTCGTGTTATCGCCCGCCGTTCGACGCATAAAGGACATAACTTCAGGGCATTCTTGTGCAATGTCCGGACGACAAAAAGTTTCCGGCAGTCTCTCCGACGTATTGACAGAGAAAAAACAAGACAGGCGGAGTGAGAGAGAGAGAGAAAGAAAGTGAGAGAGGAAGGAAAAGTTTACTCTCGGTGCCGCTCGGGATTATCTGTCACGGCGGCGGAGATACGAAAAAGACGCTCACGCACGCGAACGTGGCGGAGCGGCGAGAAGTTGGTGCGTATCGGCGACTTACCGGCAATGGCGACGAACAGGAAGAATATCCACGTATCCATGAGTCTACCGGTCGAGAGGAAGCCACCGCCGCTGGCTGGAGAGGCTCGCCTGGCCATCACGCACCGAGACGCATAGCTGATCTTGACACTCGGGGGTATAACTCCGGCTCCCTCCTTCTACCGCTCCTGCCTGCTCCTCGTGGCGAAGGACGAACGCACCCACCGATTTGCGCCGCGCGAACCACTGCGAGAAGCTCTTCACGAAATCGTCTCTTTCTCACCACCCGCACTGCTGCTGTGTCCCGACCGAGTGTCGTCCTGGCCGCGCGCGATCCTCTATCGCTCTCTCTCTCTCTCTCCCTCACATCGCACTCGTGAACGTTCGCACGAGGAAGGCGCGCGCGCGCGCGCGCGCCAGACACGACGTGGACGAAGACTGCGAGAGTGTATTACGAGGTGAGATCGAGGATGACGATGACGCTCGACGGTCGCGCGCGCTCCCGACATACACTGTTACGCACTGTCTCGTCCCGTGCCGCGTGTGTCCATACAACAATGTATACGTACGTACGTGTGTGTGTTTCGCGACGCGTCCTCTAGCACCGCTGCGTGTCTCTACGTTCGGCGGCGTGTGCACACCGACGACGACGATGTCCTGCGTGCGGTACCGGCGACGATTACGAGCGACGACGTGCGCACCGGAGCACCGAAAATGGAGGCGACGACGCGTACCTCGTGAAGTTGCACCGGACGAGCCGTGCGCGGAGCACGACGGGATTGTGCGCGCCGGACAGGGAGAGAGAGAGAGAAAGAGGGACTAGAAAGAACGAAGCGAAGAAGCGAGGAAACGTTTCTCCTACTCGACGTGGAGCACGAGCGGCGTGTGTTACGGCCGACCGTCGTCGTCGTGCTCTCACCGCCGCGTTGCCCGGAGTATTGACCGACTCGGCTCGGCTCGGCATGGCGCGGCGCCACCGAAGTGGGGATGGGAACGCGGCCGGAGGGACGGGCGGCCATGCCAACTGCCTTACAGTAGGTCTTACCGGCTGCGCGCGCATGTCGAGTCTCGTACTACTCCGGCTGGAGCCAGCGAGCCATCCAGCCAGCCAGCCGGCCGGCGCGACACGACGCAACGTGCCGAGGAAGATCTATGTGCGAGCGTGCGAATTAAAATCGAAATGGACCGCGGACAGGAGGGTCGTGACACTCTTTTTCGGATCAGTTTCGGAACGTACCGCGTGTCCAATAGGAGAACTCGATTCATAAGCGCGTTGAAGTTAAGCAGTAAGGAAATTGACCAATCATAGTTGCCATTATTTTTCAACTGTATACAGTATACATGTAGTTTGTGTTTGACACATTTCACGCGTTTCGAACGGTCCAGGCAAATTTTTGCCTCGACGCAAGGTGAACTTGTTGAAAATAATACAAATATTATGTCAGAAATTAACACAGAATTAAGTATTTATGGTATGTTAATCGATGAAGTATAAAATGTGTTATTTTAACGCTTACGTATGTTGAATACCGACTCAACGCAAAATATTGAAATAACATAAACACAGTATGTTAAATTAATATATGGGCATGTTGAACACAAAAATGTTAACACAAGTACAGTAGTGTTTTTTTACTGTAAGTTATAAGGGAAATGGTCGATTGTGATTAATTTGCTTACTGCTTACTTTATTCCACGCGCCATTTGTAGTCTTCGAATTTCGGAAAAAGGGTTTTTTCCTCATTTTTCCGCGGATTTCTTTTTGGTTCTTTTACTTTCTTCATGGAGAAAAATTAATATGGCAAGTTCCAACCGTACACACGTGAATTTTCCTGAGCGAATTTTTCCACCCATGGAACAAAAATTAAAGAAATCCGCGGAAAAATTTGGGAGAAAAGCCGTTCTTTTCCGAAAGTTTAAAAATAGCACCACTAGCCTCAGTTATCTTCGGGAGATGCATCCTCCTATCGGAAAGGATATGTGTGAAGTTCATTAAAAAAAAAAAAAAAGGGTGTAACAACCTTTCTGCCCATCACCGGAGGGGCGGCGTTATTCGCCGCTGACAGTTTGAATTGCTGCCGCCGTCACGATGTATCGATGCCTTATATCGAGACGCGTGTTAATGGCGGGTATCGATAGTCGCGCTCGGATGACCGGCAGGGATGCGGATATCGATGTCTCGCGGGATGTCGTGGGTGGTAAACGTAATTGATACTTAGCGCCGAAATGATAATACAGACGCGGTATCGATGCGTCGCGAGCGAGCGAGAAGGATGAGGGGGAGGACGCGAAAGAATAATTCGCGTGGGGCAATTTCGAGGCGCTAAGCGGAAAATATGGACGCCCGGAGTATCTGGATGTCGAGGTAAAGGCATCGATACCGTGATATACGAAAGCTCCGCGCGTCCACGCGAATTTATCTCCTCACTCCGTTCGCCACGTTGGCCATAAATCCGCGGGAACGCGGGATAGAATCCGCACATCTTCATGAAACTCTGTCCGCTTACGCGCATTTTGCGTCCGTGTAAATCTTGGCGTTTTGAAAATTAAATAACGCGAAAGAGAGAGAGGCAGAGAGATCCTCGCGAACGGGTGCGTTTGTTTCGTACCGTTTAATCGAGCGACGAGAGACGCGAAGTGGATCCGATGAGACAAAATCATGGGCGACCCGAGGCTCGCGTTTCTCGCGGTTTCTCAACGTCGCGTGTCGCGAGAATAATGCGAGATTACAAACGCCCCGCCATAATCGGCTTTGATATCCTCTCCCTGCCTGCCCCTTCCCGTGATTAATAATGAAAACGCATAAAACGCGCTCGTTAAGAAAGCTAGTGAGATATGGCGCATCCGGCGGTAAATGTCCCCGATATAAGCACAATTAATGTCGGGATAAAGTCAAGACGATGAGTGCATTTAAATCTGCTGTATTCTCCCACGGCGGTGTTGCGGCCAGAGATGAAAACTTTTATCGCGCGATATCGCGATAAGGCATCGCCGCCCACCTTTTAACACCGCACCATTGTCAAAAGAATTCTATGGACGGTGACGCGGTATATACACGTACACAGTACACCTGCATACACACACACGTACACAAATATACGCATGCAACAACGAAGGTATTAGACTTTTTGTTAAGACATTTCCCCTCGGGGCAATCGCGCAACCGCCCTCTCTCTCTCTCTCTCTCTCTCTCTCTCTCTCTCGTTCGCTATGGCGACCTACTTTTTACACTTTTTTTATGCAAATGTGCACAATTGCCTGAGAGACACGCGGAACCAAAAGCGGGAATAATCGTCGGAAGCGCGTATACGTCAAGCGGGACATATTTTTCCGATATTCTATCTTGATATCTCGCCGACGCAATACGTCGATGAGAAAGGAGAATCAAGAGAAAGAGTACCGAAGAGAGTACGATCAATGGAAAATGACACAAAAGGTTCCGGGGCACAAGACGCGCGCGATGTTCCGAATTGATCGCATTCGCGCGACCGACACGTCCGTTCATCACGCGAAAGTTGCGCCGACGGGCGTAATTTTTAAACATGCTCATGCGAATCATCGGCAATGGCACATGAGACGTCCGGAGAAGACGCTTCCGATCAATATTTTGAGGATTCCGCATTTCTAAAAGCGTTTCACGACACGACTCTGCTTTCAGAAGGGTAGTAATCCTCGGGTGTCGTCGAAATAGCCCGATGCCACGTTTAATCCCTCTCTCATGTGTGTGAGAAAAAAAGAAGGTCCTGAAGAGAGGAGATACAGTCCCCTCTCGACGTCGCCGCGTTGATCCTTAAATTCTATATCACGACTTTGATTTTTTCTGTTCTTCTTTTTTTGTTGACACCGTCCCGCGTGAACTCCCGCGAAAATTCGCGAGATAAACTGGCTTAGAAAACGGTTTGAACATTTCTTTTTTTCAAATGCAGTTCTGGAACACAACCGATGATCCAATGAGAGTTTTTGATTAATTCCCAGGAATTGCGTACGCCCAGAAGCCGAGGAAGACTTCTCGGTTTGTATTTTGACCTTTTCCCGGAAAAAAAAAGTATTTTCCAATTCTACAGGCAACAATACTGCAAATGTTAAAATTTAAAACCAAGGTAAACCGAAAAACACTTCTCGGCTGTTATTCTGATCTTTTTTCAAAAAAGAATCTTTCCAATTCTTCAGTCGAACATCAATATTGCAACTTTTAAACCTGTGATATTCTCGAATGCATTAAGACGTTGTCAAGTTTTCTGAGTTTTCAATTTAATACACGAAATGTGAATACATGAAATGTAATGGTAGCTTCATACGGCTGCTGTGTCGATCGATGAACACTTTTAGAAATCTACTCTGTCTGAATTTTTGTTTTATACACATTTTGCACTTGTAATTTCATCTTTTTCCATTGAAAAGAATCCGAATAGGATCGAGACGTCTGGACTTTGTCATTTTTAACATATTACATAATTTTTTGATCCGATCCGTCGCGAAATGGCACTAAACGATCCGTGTTTCGGTTCTTAGTGGCCCTTTGACGTCGGTAATGATTCTCAATCGTGACAGTTTCCTGCGCTCCCAAGTTCATCGGGTCTAAATTGTTTTGCAACTAAGTGTACACTTGACGCTTATTTAACGACGATACAACTCGGATCCCGCGAGGCTGATGAATCGCGATTCCCCCGTTCGATGCGTCAAACTGATCTACACTGAGCGGAGAATTGGTCGGTTTGCTTTGATCGTGTTTCGCTGCGATCTCTCGGCAGGATTTCCGACCATTTTCGAGCGTAGCTAACTCTCGATATATTCCCGGGCAACTTTCGGGATAATACTGCTGCCTCTTGCAGGGAAGACGTGTATCTTCTCTCGACTGTATCATAGGTAGAAACGTGCTTTATTGCAACATGAAGCACGTGTAGAATATTGACTATTGTCGTTCTGAGGTGAACTCCGCGTACGTCCGGCACAGAATTTGTCGAAGTTTCATACTGCTCGCGACGCGATATCCTTCGTGATTACTACATTCTTCTCTATGTCGTGTTAATTTCTATCGAACGGAATTATTTACTAATGTTTCTATTGCCACTGATCATGATAACACACGTCCGGAAACGTCATGCGCACGTATATAGGTATCTAGCGCCTTTGCGACACACCTTTTAAGGTCCGCGCTTCTAGAATGTGCACGTTAGTTCACACAGTAATTTGTATCATGTAGTTAATTAACACGCCTTTTTTAGAAAGGGATTCATTATTAATGACGTCGCCTTAATCCGACCAAGCTATGAGGGCAGAGCAATGGTGCTGATGAATTAATTAATTAGTCTGCAGTGTGAGGTCTTTGGCTGCAGCTTACGGCGCACACTGTGATAATCGTAACATGTGTGACTTTTATAATTTGAGAATAATGAAACATTTATACAAGTCCGCGGAATTTTCGCGAGGGGAAAAGATTTGAAGTGAGAAAGAAGAACAGAGAGAGAGAGAGAGAGAGAGAAAGGGATGAGGGGAGAATCGTATTATTAATCTTTTATACCAATTGACTCTCGCCGGTATCGGGTACAAATCACCGGGTACAAATATCGATAACCTCTTTCCCTTTTTAAACAAGAGCTCGCGTACAAACACGAACACATCTGAAAAAATAGTGAGAGAGTTATTAATATGTGTTCCCAAATTGAGAACGACCGAATGGGAATGTCCAAATATAAAACGCAACTTCACAAAACAACGAGGAAGATGATGTATACGTGTTTATACAAATTGCAAACATCGGCCGGTAAAACGTTAAATCGTTTCACCGATATAAATAGTCTCACGGAGAAACCGGCGTAGAAATCTCCCGCCACGCTTCGCTACGCAAATCGCTCTCGCGGCTGATTAATGATCGATAATGCGAACGAGAAGGAGATACGGTTTCGAAGCGTTTGTTGA